TGGCATCTAGTTGCATACTAGCATCTAGGTTCCCTGCTAAACATCCTGCAATTCGCAAGATCTCCACACAAAGAATTAGCTGGCTCAAAATGTCAATATGCCAAAGCTGAGAAATCCTGTTCTATGGGAATGAGGTGTAGTACTTATTCAAACATATTTACTGTGGAATAAACCATGTGTCTAGTGCAGCGCTTGGCATTTGAGATAAAGCAATAAAACCCAGAGTTCCTTCCTTAAAGACCTCAGAGTCCAGTTAAGAGGCACATAAATGGATAATCATGGAATAGATTCTATGTAAGAGAAGAATCACCTAACTTAGCCTTGGGTGGCTTCCGTGGGGAAAGTCTGGGGATTTATCTGGGAATAGATAAATCTTGAAGGATAGATATGTAGGCATTTTACAGATTAAATAAGAGAAAATGGTTTTAGGCAGAGGAAGGAAAGAAGGTTAACAATGAGCGCAAACGGACATAACCTTCCTACCCCATAGGCCAAGCACTAATATGTCTTTGTGCTCTTTCATTGGTTTTTTTTTTCTCACTTGGAATACCTTTTTCACCCTCTTTTTCTGTTTGATGAAACCATCACCATCTCTCAAGTCATATGTCATGAGAGCAAGAGTACTATTTTTGCTTTCTTGTTCATAATGTTCAAGGATTTGTTGCAAGCATAAAGTACAGTTCTGCCATGTGGCAAATGAGCTCAGTAAATATTTTTTGAATGAAAATTAATGAACTTAAATATCAGTTCCTTTCTGAAACATTCTGAATTTCTCACTATGAAAAAAGCAGAGCCACCTTTTTCTATACTACTTAACATTGTGTATAGATGGGGAATTTGAAAGATGACTTATTAGTACCTGATAAGTGCTTAATGGTTATTAAATGAATGAAAAATAGAAAAACATAATGGAAAAAAACGGACAGACTTACCAGGTGTCTGGACTCATGATATAGCTCACTAAAACACGGTCTTTCCAGTCCTCTCTGTAGAGTGGAGATTGATTCACTCAATATAAAGAAGTAAAAATCACTTATAACCTAATATCCAGAAATAGTCTTTTACTTCTTCCTAAATATTCTTCAAATATACTCAGATAGACTCACATGCATACACACACACACACACACACACAGACATACACATTCAAGCAAAATAGAATCCTATCACATGTATCCTATTTTTAAGTGCTTCTTCACCTCTCTCCATATCCGTAGGTATAAATATATATTATTTTAATGAATCCATCACATTTTATTTAATAGATGTAACACGATTTGTATAAAAAGACTCTTATGCTGGACATTTTCATTGCTTTCAGGTTTTTTGAGGTTATGAACAAAGCTGTGGTTAACATACTATGTGCACTTCTGCACACTACAGGCATTATTATCTTGAAAGAATTTCTAAAGAGATATGGAAGCAACTAAAGTATATATGAAATTTTAGACTTTTAAAGTACACTGCAAAAATGCCTTCCAGAAAGTGTGTGAGATTACCATTCCCCCAAGCAGTATACGAAAGAGACTGTTTCTTCACATCTTTAATTAACACAGAGTGCTGGGCTGCGTGTTAGATTTTAATTTAATGTGTTATAATCCAACAGTATTTCCTTTATGATTTCTGACTCATGAATCAATGCCTAGAAATAATTTCTGTACTAAAAGATTCTAAAAATGCTGTAGTGTCTTCTAATAATTTTTATGGGTTTTTTTCATTTAGAAATAATAAATTCCATCAGAAATTAATCTTGTTTTAAAGTCATGGTATAGGCATCTTTTAATTTCCAAATGGATACTCAATTGTTTTAATATATTTAATAAGTAATCTATCTTTCCACCTTCATGACTTACAGGATACATTAAGTGAATATTTATATTTTGATCTATTTCCAGACGGCACATTTTATTGTTTTGTCTACTTTCCTTGACTATGAGATTATTTTAATTATTATAACTTTATAATACACTTTAATATCTGGTGGATTAAGGTTCTCTTTTCTGTTTCCAATTTAGAAGAAAGTTTAAATTTGTACAGTATTGAATCATCTCATCCAGGGAGACAGTTGGTCTCTTTTTATTAAAGTTTGATTATCTTACCCTGAAAGGTCTTTATTCCAATGAAGACTCTTCATAATTCTTGCTGATTTTTTTCTAGACAATTCATAATTTTGATTGTGATTGTAATAAATGTTTTTATGATATTTAGCTAACTATTGTAATTATTAGATAGAGCCATTATTTTTCACAGTTATTTTCTAATGGACCATGTTATATAAATCTTACTCAATATCTTATTAGTTTTCCAGTTAATCATATAATCTGCAAATATTAGTCTTTTTCCACATTTACCACTTACTCCTATTATTTTAAAAATCTGATTCCATTGGCTATTACTTTTGGAAAAATGTAAAATCATATAAAAGCATAAAAACGTCATGATTTTAATGATAATACCTCTGATATAAAGCATGATAATGGAATTTGTATTTCAGTATTGAAAAGAATGATGATTGCATTGGGTTGAAACACACATCACATATGTAAAATCTATGGCTTTATAGTGATAATAAAAACTACAACAGGAATAGCAATGGCAAATCTCCATTGAAATTTGATAAAGGCAAAGATTCAAGAATTTATCCTTCCTTTCCTGTTATGAGCCATATTTTAAGGTAACCAAATAGTTGATTAAGTTTCTTATTTTTGTTTTTGGGTTTTTTTTTTTTCAATAATTTCACTTAAATGCTGAAGGAATGATCGAAAATTTTCATCCTGGGGCGCCTGGGTGGTTTAGTCAGTTAAGTGTCCAACTCTTGATTTCGACTCAGGTCATGATCTCTGAGTCCTGAGATCGAGCCCCAGGGCAAGCTCTGTCCTGGGCATGGAGTCTGCTTAGGATTCTGTCTCTCCCTCTCCTTCTGCCCCACCCCTCCATCTCATTTGTGCACATGCTCTCTCACTCTCTCTTGAAAAAAAAAATAAGTAAAACGTTTAAAAAATTGTCATTTTGTAATGTCAAAAAATCATCAAAGGAGATAATAGACCTAGGGAATAATTATAAACAGATGCTAAAAGCTTTAGGCAAAATGTTGATATAAACCTTATTTTGGAGGGAATCAAGTTACTAGCACATGAATCCACCAGTAAATTTCAGCATCATCATAAATGAGACAACCAGAGATAATGTGTCTCATTAAGTACTATGACATACTATTGCCTTAAAAACAAACAAATAACAATAACAAAACTATCTGGATCTAATCTAGCCTAAGATCCAACTCCTAATTTACAGAAAATATGAAAAATAGAGGTATAAAATAAATAACAAAATGAAAATAGTCAAGTCTAGAATATTGGACATTCAAGAGGACAAATATTGTGGTTTCTTCAACAAATCAGTGGCATTAAAGAAAACGAGATTTGCTATAGAATAAAAGAAATTTAAGATGCTTACAATCAAATGCAGTACAGATCTTGATCCAAACCTATTATAAAAAGGTATCTTGAAGACAATTAGGGACATTCTAATATGGACTTGGTATGAAAGGATTTGAAGAAAAACTAATCCTATTAGCTGTAATAATAGCTTCCTGGTAATGCAAGAAAAAAAAACCAACAAATAACAAACAAAAAACGAAAGTTCTTGTCAGAGATGTATACTGAGATATTTGTAGGTAAAGTGTCACCTTATTTGACGTTTGCTTTAAAATACCTCAAGTTACAAAAAAAAAAAATGGGGGAAACAAAAGAGTGGCGAAATATTGGTAATTGTTAACTCTAGGTGATGGGTATACTGAGGTTCATTCTTCTCTCTAGTTTTGTGTAATGCATGTGGTCAGTGTTAAAAAAAGGGGTAAGGAGTGAGAGTGGGAAAAACAGTCTTGATTCTAAGTAAAAAAAAGTAGAGGCAGTTAATACGGTAAGTACATAGTTAAATGCGACTTAACGTACAAGTGAGGTTCAGACAAACTGAGAGAGGAAATGTTAGAGATTGCCTAGAGTATAGAATTAGGGCAGATAGTGGAAAAGGTGAAGGGTAGAAAAGGGAGCAATGGTACTTAAATAAGATGCCTACAAGGGCACTCGCTATCTAGATCACCAATGTTTGGGAACTAGTGTAATAAATGATTGTTTGTGTCTGGATTATTTCTCTTTGATCTACAAACTTCTCACATGCCAGCACTTCATGCAAAGCATACCACTGCAGCTAAAACTGTGACCTCCTTCTCATGGACATTACAGCCAGAGTTCTATCTCAACATGGTTTATTTATAAAACCTTCTCTTACAAAACCAATTGCTGCAATTTAAGAGACTTACAATGTCTTTAACCTCACTTTATAAATATGAAAACAGAAAAAAAATCTCTGATTTTTTGTGTTACCCTAGGAGGTACAGAGAACGCAACGCAATGAAGACCTGCCTTGCGACCTTCAGTGGAGCAACTGCAGAAGCAATTTGTTACAAGCAGATGGATAGCTGAACGCTAAAAAGGATAATAAATTTGAACGAAATTAGATATTGAAATCAATTTCTTTTAGGCTTACCATGAACCTTCAGATTTACACGATTGTATTTGAAGAAGTCAGGAAATAAAAAAAAGGCATACTAAGATGGGTGCCCATGAAAACAGAACTTTACACATGCTATAGCCTTTATAGTCACCATTTACTTGGTTGGTTCAAATATTTATAGTTCATTGTTATGACTGCCAAAACTGGCAACCACAAGGATTGTTGTCTCAATTAGGACAGTAAACAGATTGTCTCTTTTTTTAATGAAAAAATCTAAAATGTAATACTTCACAGTTTAACATGTTTATTCATCTAAACGAGCTAAAAAATAATGGTGCGACATCTGTTCGAGAGGCATTGGTACCTCAAATTTTGGCTGCCTCCCCACCAATTTGGTTGTTGTTTTAAAAAATGAAGAATAGGAGGGGGTACTGTCATCAAAAAATCTTCTGGCATGTAAAGTATCTTATTTTTCTTGAAATAAGGATCTCATGTCTGTTGCTAAGGATAAAAAAATTATTTAAGAATGAGGCACTATGCTGAATAGGGCAGCAGTTCAATTGTTTTAAATGAATTTACTGGCCCACTATGGGTATTTCCACACTGGTATAGTTCTTTGAGTGACTCTCCCAGTTCCCTTCATATTTACCTGCATTGCTAAAATACAAAATAAAATAGTAAGAATGTTTCTGTTGGCACTGAATTCATCTGCTAGGTTTCTTTTTTTTTTTTTTTTTTTTACTGTGGGTTGCACTGATTCTAGATATGATGTCAGTGGAACAAAATCTAGCAAACACCATTCTATCCAGGCTGCCTTGGAGCAATTCTAATAAAAGAAGGCAGTGCCGCTAAGGGAGAAATGGTAGAAATCTCCCCAGAGAAGTCCAAGGTAAGTGTACTTATCTTAGATAGGCTCTGGCTCAACAACCTTACATTATGGATGGAATATATGAAAATTCTCTAAGTTTAATTTCTAGAAGTTTTATTTCTGAAGCCCATCTAAATAAATCATAATTTACTGAATTATCATTGACTATATCATTTTAGAATCTGGAAAATATAGTGCTTTAGTTTTCACATAAATATAAGCATTATAATGAAAATTTAGTTTTATTTTTGTTGGGAGTGAGGATATATAATAAGTTAAATTAAAAACACTGAGGGTGGTTTTCAACAATACTAAGATAAAAACATATTTGATTTCCTAGAAAAGAGCAATCAATGTTTCTGTTCTAAGCAAATTTAACACTAGTTGTTTTGACCTTAAACAGGAACAGGATGAAACACATACTTGTCCCAGAACATTCAATGATCATAAATGTCAAATGCTGAGTTAATCAATATAGTGATTTCTAAGTTTTATTTATTAAATGCAAATAATTTTTTATAATCTCTTACATGCAGCAACTGTACCAGACTCTGAGAGCACTAAAAGAAATTAACTTAAATTTTAACAAGCATTTATTAAATATGTGCAGATCACTACACTACTGGAATTACAGAAATGAATAAGAACATATTTTCAGGATCTTGCAATCATTGGTTGGGGTAAAAGTATTTCAGAAAAATTGAAAAGATGGAAAATCTTCAAATATTTGCCACCTTAAAACAGCAAACTCTATACTGTACTATGATAGGCTTTTTGTTCATTTGTTTTAAAAGAAATCCTGGATGAGGTTATATTTTTACAATATCTCCTCTCAAATGAATCTATAAATGTTTATTTTGCATGCAAAATAAGAACAAGCAACTCTTCAAGCTTCATTCACAGTATTCCATAGGCTATATGTAAAGTCTGCTGCATTAGCTAAAATTTATCCTGCAGAGTATGTTAGCAAATAGATTCTAACATTCTGAAAAGTCATTATAATTTTTCTGTTTTTGTCTCCTGAATTACTCTGAGCAGTGAATTATTGGAGGAGAAAAACCCACGCCTAAAATTTGTGTCTGGTGCCAGTCTTAGATTTATGCCAAACACCACTCACTATTCAGAAGTGTGGTCTGCTGAAAATGTAGGCCAGATATCACCTTTCTATCTTCAAAGATTCAAACCAGATTTTAATCTGGAATTTCTCTACAGGCCCCTTCCCAGTTAATGTGAGTTTGAAAAATTTACATTTCATGAAAACAGTGTTGTATAAACATATATTGTCTCAGTTTACCTGCTATTTATTAAAATCAGATTTGAGCCTTTGGGACTTATGGTTCTCTGGAGCCATCATAAGTCAATTACACAAATGGACTAGCCAGAGTCTCAGGATATCAAGGAAACGAGGTACCCAAACTAGCCTATAATTATACTATGTATAGATTAATACTTATTACTATCAGAAACAACCTTTTTCCCTCAAGAGAACACCTCAAGAACAGAAGGGAGGAGTAACACTTTTTTTTCAGGGTAATGAATTTCAGACATTTCCAAGAGTATACTCATCTATTTTTTTTTTAAATATTTTATTTGACAGAAACACAGCGAGAGAGGGAACACAAGTAGGGGAGAGGGAGAAGCAGGCTTCCTGCTGAGCAGGGAGCCTCACGTGGGGCTCGATCCCAGGACCCCGGGATCGTGACCTGGGCCGAAGGCAGACGCTTAACGACTGAGCCACCCGGGCACCCCACTCATCTATTTTAAATACTGTAAATTCTGTTGTATTTCACTTGGATAGGTATCTAATAAACAATTATTACATATCTTCTCATTTAAATTACTACTGAAATTAGAAATAATCTTTATTTAATATGACTTTTTAACACCATATGGGAGGTAAAATAACTAAATGAAAATTGTTCACGTAAATGTGGTAGGAGTGGGGGAAAAGCAGTATTTCTTGACATGTGGCATGTCACTCAGGAAAGGAAAAGGCCCATCATATCCAAAATGCCAGCTTGGATATTCCCTTGCCACCCACTTCACGAACAGACATACCACATGGCATTAAATGCTGCAACCTTTCCTAAAAATGCCACTTGGATTGGTCTGCTGTGGTGAGTGTATAAGAACTCTTGGTCTGTCTCATGAGTTTGTGATTTCAAGGGGTAGAATCCAGTAAATAACACTGGCTAAATTTTGCCCTCAGATGTTTGGCATAAATGATCTGTGAGGATACTGGAACTTTGGGCTGTTTTCACATTGATGAAATAAATTATGCTACTTGAAAAAATTCTACAGAACATAATGCTACACAGTCATATTCAACTATTTGCAAAAGTCTCAAAGAATATCGAGTGTATTCATCAAAGCTTTCTTCTCTGGGCAAATATGGAAACAATCTTAACATTTTATTTGCTCTTCATAAATACAATGTATATGATATAAAACACTTTGTGCACATGGTTCTAACCATTAATTTTTTATACATCTTTATATAAGGTAGTAACTAACAACTCTGCTGTGGACACATATTTTCTCATTTTCTAAGCTTTATGTATTCATGTGTTCTAAAAATATTTTTAAAAAATCCATTACTGGTAAAAATATTGAATATATTGATTGTTATACTCCAACAAATTCAAAATATCTTGAAAATTTATGTAAACAAAAAAATTACATATGTGAGTAATATGAGACATATATTTTCTATTATTTATTTTTCACAAAACAGTTCTGATTAACTCTCAAGAGACAAAATGTAATTTTGTAAACCAACTTTGTATTGTTTAGGTTTAAGAGACAACCCAAGAAAATTATTCTGAGTAGGTAGGACTTCCGTTACTGTTGTGTGAAAAAAAAAAAAAAAAAAAAAACCTGCACAACTAAAGGACAGATTGTTGCATATCTCCCTAACAAGAAGGGCAAACTGATACTGCAAGCAGCCAGAACAACATAATTAAAATAGAATTCCAAGTTTATATTAATACAATAATAAGTTAATTAAAATCAAGATCAACTGAACTTTCTATTTACACCAGTTCAGACAGCCCAAGAGGAAAGGAACTCTATTTTACAGACATATGTGACTCTTGAGCTTCTGTCATCCAGGTGCCATTTCTGATGGAGCACATGTGCACTGAACAGTTGGCAAAGAAGGAAAAAGATTACTGTAGATGTATGGCAGATAGTCTCTCTAATGATATAAAATATGTCTGGAAAGAAGGCAGGGCTTCTTTGTAAAATGAAAAATTTCCCATGACTTTTCCTTGCTTCTTAGGCTCTGAATGTGATTTGAGAATGTTTCTGTAAATGAGGATATATACTTTTACTTACGACGTATATGGAACAAAAATAGATTTAGTAATCTGTAAGTGATGGAGTTATACACATAAATTGGCTAAGACACCAGAAGAATTTAGGATCTGTTTTCCATTTAATCTAAACGCACCATGAATAGGTTGTTTGTCAAAGTAGAAAGATTTATAAAAGTATCCGGTAGCATACATTATACTCCATTGCTAGGTAAGGTTCTTTTCTTGATATCCTATGCAACTATTTAAAAAGATATTTCTGAAAACTGAAAATACCAGCAGAAAGAATTCAAGATGTTCCAGTTTCAGTACTTTAGAAAGTATTGGTCCCAAGGGGTGCTTTTGTAAAATTATTTCCCTTTAATGCATTGATTGCCATTCAGCTAATCTTCATCTCCTTCCAGATCAGGGTCAACATCTGTGGACAGTCTGAGATAAAAGAAAGCATAGAAAGCCAGTAGGAGGGCCAATATAGCTGCAAGTACGAGGCCAACTTCCTGAGGAGGGAAAAAAAAAAAAAAAAAGGTTTGAAATTGATGAAAAGAGATTGGTTAATGTTATGAATTTCATCAGAGAAAATAGCGATATAATTCCATCATCTAGAATAATAATTTGAACCTAATTAATCACATTCTTTTTGTTTAACACTTCTTGTCATTTAGTAAAGTAACTTATTTTGTACTTGACAATACCAACTGCAATGACAAGTACATCTGTGGGTGACTCATTTCTATTATTATTCCTATGTAATTTGTGCTTTTCTAATAGTAAAATTAAACTTTATAATTTTGATATATTTGCATAGTTTGAATATCAAGATGTTGGGTGCAAGCAGTGTAGTTTGTGCCAACACAGTTTCTCTCTTCTCTATTTGAGTATCTTTAACTTTATTTGTTGCTTCAATTAATTTGTTATTAGTTTCAGCTTTAGGACATGATTTTAAAACATGTATCTTTCTTTTTCTAATAGGAAGAAACTGCTATTATAGCCAGTTTCTAAATTATGTCTCTGTAAATCTTTATTAAATATTATTTTGTTGAAACTAAATTTAAACTCTAAATTCCATAGTTTATAACGTGGGGGGACAAAACTGAAGACTCTTAGTTCACGAAGCAAGATACACTATAATTTATCAGAACTGTGAAGGGTGATTCTGAATATTTCATTTGGTGATTTGATGTGGGTTATATTAATTATGTTAAAATAGTAGCCAAAAATTTACTACATATATTATGGCAAAAATCCTATTATCTCTTAAGAAGTCCATAAACTTCATATTTATATGAAATATAGACTGTGCAGTATACAACACACACAGACTTACACACATACCATTAAGGAATATTCTCGATATTAACATAGCATTTGGCTAAAAAGATCAAAAAAGAGCAACTGGTGCCAGTTCCATATCCTAAAGAGCCTAATATGCCTTTCTAATTTTCAATTGTGTATCACACCCATTCCCAGCATTGTTTTATGGAGAAGCAAGTTATTTGCATTTACGTGAATATATTTTACATTTCATCAGAATGTAAAATTACTAATTCAACATATACTACCTAATAAACTTTAAAAACATTAAAATGAATTTGGTTTATAATCGACATGAAATTTTTACCTGGATGTTGAAATTACAAATGGGTACTTTATACAGATATTTAGCTTCAAATTTACATTTATTTAGATTTCCAAGCTATGAAAATAAATATTGATAAAAATCAGGGGGTTGATAGACTCAGTGTCAACTATTTTAATCTAATACATCAATATAATGTCAAATGAAAGTGAATTTTTCTTTGTTGCAGTTGGAACACTTCAGCATCTCAAAAGGGCATGGCAGCATCAGACAGGTTTCATTTATATTCCTATATCCACAGCTGTGCTCCCAGACCCATCTGGTTACACAGCTACTAATTTTAAGAGGATGTAATAAACAAGTGACACACAACTGCAAACTCCATCTGTTCTGTATAGTGGACAACAAAACTGTTTAACAGCAGTCACCATTCATGCAAGCTGAAAGCAAGAATAAAGTTTTTACTCTTGATTGGAGGCCATCATCCACATCTCATTTGATAATCACCTCTAACTGCTGCTTTTCAACTGCTCCTTGTCCCTTCAAAAAACTCTCTATCATCTTCACAATATATTTTCAGGCTATCCAGAGGCATGAAAATGGGTTTTAAGGGTAAGAAGCCAAGAACCTTCATAGAATACAACTCCAGAGGATCCATTAATTCAATGAAGTCTACTGAATATATGGTGGAGGGGGTAGGGTTAAAGAGTATTAAATGGGAAGGAATAGCATCATTTAAAAAAAAAATGCTCCATACTGTTGTGGGGACTGAATGTATAGAGGTTAAACAACGATAACATTTGAATATACTGCTTGCAGGATACTGGTGACACTAACCATAACTTAGAGACCTGTAGGCATTTATGACCCCCCACCCCCTGGCCATTTTTAGTTTTACATCTGAAATCACAAAAAAAGAAGAAATAACGTTTCCAGATGTCTCATCCCAAGAGGTTGTTCACAGGATCTGGTTGACACTTGAAGATTTTATTTATGTAACAGATAAATTAAATTTTTGATACTTATTCTTTTATTAGATTACACCTTTCAAATAAACCTTTCAAATGAACTAATTAATTAACAAATATGAATTATCTTTTTTCTTCTAAATACTAGGAAATATGGGTATTTACATTCTAAAAAATTTTTAATGAAGTTGTAATTCTTAAAAAATAATCTAACTGAACAGCAACCAAATAGGAAATCTTAATTGTGCTAATATGTTTTAGGTAGCACTCATTACTGGATCAAAAATTACAACATTTTGTTTACATTGGTAAGACACAGGAAATAAAATAGCTTCTAAACGGAAATTAATTCTAGATTTTGACACAATAATATTCACATCTTATTCTGAATCATTACTGTTCTCCCAAAACATTTTCAATTACTAAACATATGTTTACAAAAAGGCACTAAAAGTCTTTGAGCATAAAGACTGTATTGTGTATTCCTTACACATCTCCAGTCCTAGATCTCTCAGTCAATACTGTTGATTTGATTTTATGTGGTAATGAAATCTGGAAGTTATTTCCTGTATAAATTCCTCCCAGATGATCCTGTCTTGGTCATCTTTCTTTCTATAGGTTCTACAACATTGTAATACTTACAGCATTTCTAAACAAAAAATGAAGGACTGAATAAGATTTAGATAACATATATATGAAGTATATTAAAGTCATGTAATACTTTGAAAACTTTACAACAGCAATATCAGTATCTCCACAGCAAAACTAAGAACATTTTATAATATGCAATATAATACCACAATGCAGCCTGAGTTGAAGTGGGGGATCTTAAGGCCACTGACAAACAACCAAGGAAGTCTTATTTGTACAAACCAGCAATGGCTAATTCAAAGAAATATTTTCTCAATCAGCTAACAATTCATAAGTGAATTTGATGTCCTGGGTTCAATGTTAACTGTTTTTGTGGTATTATTTAACTCTTCTGACAACCCTGTGAGGTAATGGCATAATTGCTTTTGCAAATATGTCAGGTTAGACTTAGCTAGATCATGACAACAGGAAGAGGCAAGAGAAACGTGTTCCTAGGCCTCTTTCTTCCGTGTTCAGTGTTGTCATGGCTGGCATTTTTCTATTCCATGCAGCTGTTCATATTTTCTATAGATTTAAATTATTTTAAGAGCATAACTATGATTCATTTTAAAAATAAGCAGTAAAGTGATAAAATACTATAATATTATGGTCATCCTATATCAACTAGATAAGAGTCAAACATGTTTGATGTTCATTAGTCCTTAGTTGCTTCTCTGACATTATCAATATGGATAAAATCACTCACTGGGGAAATTAAACAGCATTAAATGGCAATTGCTGAAAGAAACTTCGTTATTTAAAATCCTATGCTAAAATGACAAGGCAATCAAAGTTTGACAGAGCAAACTAATTAGTATGCCAGATTTGAAATGTAAAACACCTCCATGGTTCTGATTCTAAAAAGTTTCATATAATTTTAATGGGCTCTTCATATAATTTTTCAAGCAAAGTGACCAATGCTTAAAGTTAAGGTTTCTGTTTTCCACAGGTTTACAAATCAAAATGATATGTTAGCTTATTAAAAAGGAGCTATGTTCAGATGTCATTAGAAATTCTTCTGTCATGCATTAAATCATAAATTAAATCTAAGAAAAACTTTTTTCTCAAAAAAATAAGCAAATTCCGCATTGTTTATAAAATGATATTAGATAATTGCATTATAAGGTAGATTTATCTGATACTAGTCATATCCTCAAATTAAAATAATAACAAAAATTATAAGAGCAAATAAAGAGAATATATATATATTAATAAATGAATGGCTGCACCATTTCTCAAATTCTGATTTATAGCTGTTCATTATATTGTGCCACAAGTGGATTTTGCTACCCCAATATCTTTCTTTAAAAAAAAAAAACCCCAAAACCAAAACAGAGAGATAAAAGTGAGTGACATAGTGCCTTGGTGGAAAATTACAAATAATGCTCTCACTATAAGAGACAATCACCAGGTAACTAACTGTACAATAAAGAAAGAAAAAAAGCCCTAACTAATGCTTTTAGAAATATCATGTCATGGAAATAATTTTAAAGATGAATAAAATTTCATGTGAAATTAGAAGAAAACTTCAAAAGATTAATCATCTCTCTTTTCAAAAAAAGGCAATTTACTTTTTTTTTCATTAAAAACTGACACACAGCACTAACTGAGGGGATTGTGTTGTGAAAACATACCGTATCACACAGCAATGCTTGATCAAAATCAGCAATCAAGAGTAAAAAGAAGGCAGTGTTTCGTGATCATAATAGCAAATTCTGGAAGACAACCAAATATATCATCTGGCAGTTCAACAGCTGTTACAGCCTAGTAGTAATACCTTGGCATTTGCTATAAGCTATAACTTAGAAAAATTGATTTTTCATCTGCCAGATAAAAACCAAAATCTCCTTTTAATATTTTAATATTTAAATAAAGTATATACTAGTCACTTTAATTTTACACATTTGACAGTAGAACCATCAAGTTAATTTTTGTATTTATAGTTTGGTTCACCTCTAAATACTTGGCAAAAAATTGACATGAGTAATAATGTAAACGTAATTTTGTTGAACTTCATTGTGCTAGCACATTGGATTAATATCTGCTAACATCATTCTCAGATGCATTTATCCCTCTTAAGCAGTTAAAACACTGGTTTTCTAAAAGAACAAGTTTGGGGATATCATTAGAATTTCATCATAGAGAGTACTGACAACAATAATAATACACAGAGTAAAATTACATATATTAATGATCTAAGTATATATAATTATAACTAAAATTTCAATAACCATAAAATTAAATTTATTGAAATTAAAAGAAGTTTTTTATTCAGGCCACATAAATCACTGAAATATTTGAACAATATACACGGTAGCTAGAGGAAAAAATAAATTGCAACTTTCTGTATAACTGGTTTTCTTATGTGACATTGTGTTTTAAGACCTGATCAGAATGATGTTTCCCATTAAGTAAATTCCTTTAAAAACCTTCAATTCTGGCATTGACTTTGATTTTGAAATGTCATAAAACATTTAGCATTCAACATTTATGCAATTCAGCTTTAGAAAATGAAATGGCATGCATATATCAAATTTTAAAGTTACCAAATACAGGTACCTTTATCCCTATTGCTGTTTTCTTTGCTTCTGCTTTTAATTTGGTTGCTCGTAAAATAGGTTTGGTTTTTTTATAATCTTGTTTACCTAGAAAGAAATAATTTCAGGCAATGAGCTATGCTTATATATAATTCAAGTGTAACAGCCATCTGAAATGTCAAAGAATGTTTAAATACAGTAAGACTGGGACACAGAGTTGCGAAGTAGCTCCCAGTTTTGGAAACCATAAACTTGTCACCCTAAGGTCAACATCTCCTCTCTCAATTTTCTGCAGGAAGAAGATCCAACAGACATCTTTGATTTGATGTCCAGTGAAGAGCTAAAAAGATAAAAACTAATTTTAGAGAGTAGGATGTTTAAGGTAAAGACAGTAAACCTTTCGGAAGCATTTAGAAACAAATGGGTAAATGAGTATACATAAGATCCCATTAATAGGTAAGTTAATTTCATCTTCCTACATGAAGAATAAGAGCTCCTTATAAATTTATTTTATTAGGGATATATAAAATACCCAAATAATCAATTTGAGGAATATCCTCAAGTTTTCTGTAAGAAACTAAGGAAAGTTAAGTAAATACTTAACTTTCAGTCACTGAATTCATTAGAAAAATACATTTTTAACTTTGTTTGCTCTTAAGAGAGGACAGAATAAATATGGCTAAATAAAAGATGTAGGAAAGCTACATTTAGATATTAGTTCCAATCTTCTCTACCATATTTCACAGCCAAAGACGAACAAAACTAAGTTAGTTAACATCACCAAATTTCCTTTTTTGTGTACCATTTGATGACTAATGAGTAACAAACCTGAGTTTGCGTGTAACCTGTATGTAACTAATGAGTTACATAACTTGTGAAGAAAATAGATTTAACATAACAAAAAACAAAACAAGAGTAACAAAAACTTTGACTAGAATAATATACTCTTTTGTTAACCAAAAGAACTTTTAACTAAGAACTGGGTCAATGGGTCTCAAATACAGCATATCACTCTGTGTGGGAGTTAGCATAAAACCATGTAATCTCTCTTTTAGTTTGCCTTGTTTCTATCTTACTCCCTTTCCTTCATGATTGGTTCTTTTCCAAATCTTACCTCTATATCTCCTTTATGTAAATAATACAACTTCCAACTTTAAGTTCCACATCTTCCTCACATTGAAATAAATCTGAACACAATTGATCTACACTACAGTATATCATAAAAGTTAATGTGCAATAAAATGTCTTTGTTAATGATTCAAAAGTGCCTTTAAAATCCATATAGATTTTTAGAATTAGAAATGGCAGGGAGAAGTTAGTCAAAAGGATGCGAGTAATGAAGAAATGCTCTATTTGTGTTCATTAGACACATAAAAGTGTTTGTTTGGCTGAAGAGCTACGTATTGGTGTTTTGTTTTTTTGTTTTTAAAGACCAGTGTATGCTATTTCCTTAACTGCTATCTATAGCCGTCATTCTGGATCTATGAACATGCGGAAGCTTAATAAATATTATTTGATGGGATAAGGTTTAATGATCCAGAAATGAACCAATTGTAAAAATGTACATCAAATGATCTAAATTTAAATTGTGGAATGAACAAACTACAGAAAAATATTACTCTGACCCATTTTAAATTAGCAACATTTAATTTTGCTGAAAAAGCCTTGACAAGTATTCACTCTGATTTCACATCTCAACAGTCAAACTATTCATGTCATTATTCCTGCTGAGATACAAACAGTTCAGAACAATGAAAATGGTGACACATCAAATGCCTCCACTCAGGGTTACAAAGCAAATTTCTAAGGAGAATCTAAAAAGAAATTTGAAGATTATAGATCTGAGGCCAAAAAGTCATTTCTTGTTTTCTCTTATATATACCCTATAATAATCTCTGGGTGCAATGGGAAAAAATAAATGGAAAAAGGATTATCTTAACCCAAATGTTTTACATACACATATGCATTATTCTGGATGACGTGTCTGCCATAAAACAGATTCAAATATACCTCAAAGAGTCAAGGTTAAAGTGAGAATTTATCATTCTACTTCACTTGCCATATAACTTATTGGTTAAATAATGTGTTCCATTTCAATTCAACCCCTGTATCTCTTAGAGAATAATACCTCTAGATTCATATTAAAGTTGACATGAACATTTGAAACTGTATTTATAATAAATAGATGGTTTTAAAAATTATTTACACCTGGTACTTTCCAAATAGTGCATCTGTCAGTAGTTTAGCATTCTGCTTGCTAACTATGATATCCAAAAGTACATACTGAAAAACGAGGTTTCAGTCTATTAAATGAAAACGTTTACAGAGGCATCTGTTCTTTATAACTAAAACTAGATATTTCTATTATACCTAAAGAAGTTTTCAACATTTAAATTTTTTATGGCTTCAAGAAGGATACCTATGCCTACACAATTGTAAAAAATGTAAAATACAGAAGCCCCTGACTTCTGAGTACTTAGAAAAAAATACATATATATGTATATATGTGCATATATGTATATATATGTATGTATATAACATATATAATAATCTAGATTTTATATGTAGATGGATTCTTAGACATAGTTGGGTCTGATTTTGGTTATATCAATAATGCAATAACCAAAGTAGCTGTTTGACAATTGCTCATTACCTTTTATATGAGAAGAAACCTGGAGAATTCAAGCCTATGAAGCTAATCTGGGGCCTCAATTATTTAGTTTCTCTGTTTAATGACACCATTCATCATATTTCTGTATTTTCATTTCCTATGGCATCGTTTAAGCAACAAAAGCTTTTTTTCTGCATCTCCAAGCTTCCTGATTGAGTGATTTATGCTTCCTCTCTCTAATATAATCTTATAATACTACTTTATTATATTTTATTCTTAAATTATCACAATGAAATTGACTTTTTTTTCCTTTTGGTATACAGTTCTATGAAATTTAATGCTCTTCTATAGATTCATGTAACTACTACCATAATCACAGTACAGAAGAATTCTATTTCAAAAAACTCCCCATGCTATCCTTTCGTATCCACGCCTCCTCCCAGCCATAATTTCTGGCAACCACTGAGCTACTATCCATTTCTATAGCCGTGTCTTTTCAGTAATATGGCAATAACATGACAATGGCTTCTTTGATTCAGCATAAGGCCTTTAAGTTTTACCCAAGTTGTATGAATCACCGATTCATTCTTCTCTATTGTTGATTAATATTCCATTATATGAAGGTACCAGAGTTTGTTATTCATTCACTCACTGAAGTGCTTTTCGGTTATGTATAGTATTTGGCAAGTACAAGAGCTACCTATAAGCACAGGTGTATGGGTTTTTACATGAACACAATTTTTCAATTTATCTAGAGTAGGACTACTGGAGTCATATGGTAAGTATATATTTAACTTTGTAAGAAACTACCAAACCATTTTCCAGAGTGGCTATAACATTTCATATTCCCACCAGGAATGGATCAGAGTTCTGGTAGCTTTGTATCAGAACTTGTATTAGTATTATTACATCTAGATTATCTAGATTATCTGTTTATAGTATTCCTTTATAATCCATTTTATATTAAGATCGATAGTAATGTACTCTGTTTCATTAATGATATTAGTAATCTGAGTGTTCTGTGGTTTTTTTTTAACGTGTTAAAGGTTTTCAATCATGTTGATCTTTCTAAACAAACTTTTGTTTTATTGATTATTTTTTTATTGTTTTTCTCTTTATGTTTTTTCCACTCTAATCCTTATTATTTCCTTTTCTTCAGCTTTGGGTTTAGTTTGCTCTTTTCATATTCTAACCTGTCTAGGCAGAAAGCTAGGTTATTGATTTGAAATCTTTCCTCTTTATAAACATAGTGTTTAACAGGTGTAAATTGCCATCGAAGTACTGCTTTAGCAGCATCTCATAAATTAGCAAGGAGAGGAAAAAAGTTACAGACAGAAAACATATGTAGACTTCTATTATATTTATCTATGTGGTTACCTTTACTGGTGTTAGGTTTTTGCTGTTGTTGCTTTCTGTATATGGATTTGACTTACTATCTTGTGTACTTCCATTCCAGCCTCAAGGACTTCCTTTAGTGTTTCTTGCAGGGCAGGTGTGCTATTAACAAATTATCTGGTTTTGTTTATCCAAAAATATCTTAATTTCTCCCTTTTTTAAAGGACAGTTGTGCTGGATATAGAATTCTTGGCTGGCCATCTATTGCTTTCAGCACATCATATGTAATATGTTACTTTTCTCTTGCTGCTTTCAACAATCATTCTTTATGTTTGACTTTCAACAGTTTGACTATAATGTAGCCCAGTGTAGATCTCTTTGAGTTTATCCTACTTGAAATTTATTGAGGTTCTTGGATAAAAAAATCAAACTCTATGGTGACTAACATAACATAATTTAAAAAAAAGGCAAAACTACTAAAAAAATCAAAGTGTTTCATCAAATTAGGGAAGTTTTTGGATATTATTTTTTCAAATACCCTTTCTGACCCTCTCTCTTCTCTCATTTTGGAAGTATTGTTGTACATAGGTTGGTATGACGGATGGTGTCCTACAGGTCTTTGTGTCTCTGCTCATATTTTGTCATTCTTCATTCATTCTTTTTTCTTCATGTTCCTCAGAAAATCTCAATTAACTTTTCTTCATGTTCCCTGATTCTTCAGTCAGTTCACATCTGCTGTGACGTCCTTCTAGTGAAATTTTTATAATCATTGTATTTTCCAAATCCAGAATTTCTATTTGCTTTTTAAAATACACATAATTTATATTTCTGTAATGAGGTGCTTTATTTTGTGAGGTATTATTCTCATATTTCAATTCTTTAGACAGGATTTTCTTTGGTTTTTTGAACATATTTCAAAGGGCTGACTTAAAGTCTCTGTTCAGTAAGTCCAAGATATGACCTTTCTTAGAAATAAGTTCTATTATCCTTTTTTTGTGTATGGAGCACACTTTGCTGATTCTTTATGCATTTTATAATCCTTGTAGAAACTGGACATATCAAATAATGTAATGTGGCAACTCTGCAAATCATATCCCCCCTATAATGTTGTTGCTGCTGTTTGTTTTTCTTTTGTTGGTTTTTTTGTTTGTTTTTTTAATGA